AATGAATAAATTAGTTAGAAAAATAACCATATTCCATTCCAATATAATTGGAATTCGTGATTCCATTATGATAGAATTGGAATTCATTTACCAATAATCATATTAATTCGGGGCATTTTAACAGAATATATTCATGATTATCATAAAAAACATTCTTTTCTGATAGAATACTATAAACGAAGAAATATCATTCAGTTGAAGCATTTTAGCGAGCGCTTGGTGTGCATCAAACCAACTTTCAATTTCCTGTAAAAATTAAACAATCAGAACAAATTCCCAATTCACCAAAAATATTACACCTTGAAAGAATTAGACAATAAACCTAAACACATCCAAAATTTCTTTGATTTCTGTCAAACAATCAACCCAAACATCCATTCTATATATTGAAATCAAATCAAATTAAAAAACCCATTTGAAGATTAAACTTCATTGGTTTACAGTAAATCAGTCAAAAGAAGAAGAAGAAGAAGAAGAAGAAGAAGAAGAAGAAAGAAACTCGTACCCATCGACCTCCTTGTCTCTCGTTCTCACCTCACCAGAAAAAAAAGGAAGAAGTGGCAGAACCGCCTACTGCCGCCGCTAATTTTGCTTGTCCCTGCCTAATCGATTTTGTTGTAATGGAATACACAGTGGTGTAGGGCACCGATCAATAAGAGAGTCACCGGAGAAGGGCGTCTCCCCTCTCTTTCTCGTATTTTCTTCTTCCTGTCAAACACAACAATCGAACGCCCCCTGGATCGGTGATGTCCCGATGCTTCTTCCCTCCGCACCTCCTCGCGATTTCCCAACTATCACAGAAGCTTCGTCGACATGCCCTGTTCCTTCGTTTCCCTTACCGTCAGCGTCTTCGACTTATTAGAGGGGTAGGGCACCGATCGATAACTGCTTCCTTCGAACCAACTGCCGCCTCTTCAACCTGTCGATTGAACCACCCACCTCTCTTCCCTTCACACGCTATGCCGGAACCGGGAGAGAAGCAGCCGAGAGTTGCTTGATTGTTAAAGGTCGATGTTTTCTGTCTAGGGTTTTAAAGCGGTAAATGTAAACGATTTTGCCTAAATAAAAGGGTTTATGATTTGAATAATTAATTACCAAAATTAATTAAAAGCTAAGATTACAATTTTACCCCTATCTAGGTTTTTAAAATGATTGGTCCACATTTATGCATACAATAACACAATAATTACTTTAAACACCTGAACCTATATATATATATATATATATATATATATATATATATATATATATATATATGTATAGGGAAACGATCAAATGAGAACACCTAAAAGGTTGAGAACGTGAGAACAGGTATATTCATTTGTGATTCCATGTATTCATTTGTGGAAAATGATAAATTTTTACGCACAATCAAAATGAATATGTTTTTTCTCTTCAATTGAAATTAAAGGCGTAAAAATTTATCATTTCTCCACAAATGAATATACTTTGTTCTCGTGTTCTCAACCTTTTGGTGTTCTCATTTGATCCTACTCATATATATATATATATATATATATATATATATATATATATATATATAAGATATATTATATATATATATATATATAGGAGTAGGATCAAATGAGAACACCCAAAAGGTTGAGAACGCGAGAACGGATCTGAACCATTTAAAAAACTAAATCTTAGGTTATTATCGAATGGGCTATTTATGTAAAATTTTAAAAGTTACAGGTATTAAAGTGTAACTTCAAATGGTGATAAGGGTATTATAGTAATTGGACCTTTACCACCGATACTTAATTCCTATAATTCCTCAATCACTCACTTATTTCCTTCCATTTCCCGTCTCTCTCTTCATCTCTCTCTGTAAACCTAGGTACGCCTCCACCCTACATTATTGATCCACCACCAAAAGGGAATCGATTGGAATCGTTGAAGCCAAAAAAAAGGAAAGGGAAACAGGATCTCCAAATTGTTGTTGATCGGAGGAGAAGGATTCACGAATGGAGCAGGGATCGGGAGGCATAATCGATTGGGGGATGTTCGATCCTCGTCTGATCGAGAAGGGAGATGGTGGAGCAGCGATGTTTGCGGCATATTGCGGCGGTAATCGGGTGGCCCAACGAGCAGACGACAACCCTAGTGGTCGAAAGTTGTGGTTTGTTTCTGATTAATGTCGCCTAGTCTTTTCAATTTTTTTTTTAGTTCTTTACAAATGCTAGGAAAAGTGGTATCTTGGGCTTGAATATGAGTAATAGAATATTCAGCCAAAGTAGTAGGACTCTTTTAGTTGCCTTTTGATACTTGGATTGGGTTATTATGTTGACAATTGGAAAAAACAAATTCTTGCAGATTGGCACATCCAGGAGGACCAATGAAGACTAATAAAGTTGTTGCATTAGCCAAGTTTCTGGAACGGAAGTCACAGGAACCTAGTGGATTATCTTCTATTAATCCCAAACTTGTGGAATTGGCTGTGAAAAATGCCAAAGAGACTGTTAGAGCAAGTAATCATCCTCATCCCATTGAAAATTTTGGTGTAGTATCTATCATTTTATGGTTTATGTATGTAAGTTGTTGTATGCAGGCAATGCTTCAAATTCAGAAAGGAGAATACAACATGTAAACTCATTTGGTGACTATAAGGTGCTTTCTTTATCTACTTCTGAAAAGTCAAAAGTTGTCATCATCTTTGTTCATATTTCATTGTCAATTTTTAAATCTTTAAGTGAGACTCTGAATGTGGCAGGATATGATTGAAGAAGACCAAGAAATGGAAGTGAAGCCAATCAAACTGAAGAAAAAGAAGAACAAAAAGAAGAAGAAAAAAAAGAAGGTGCATTTTATTTTTGACCTTTGGTTTTAGTTAAGTTAAATACGAAGAATCAATGATAATGCTAAAGTCATTAATGAATGGTGTGTGTAATTTCCAAAATATTAAAGATTTGATAAAAAAAACTTAACTATGATTGATTGCTAGCCTTCTTAAATTATTTTTTGTAGTTTATTTTTGTTGATTAAATTTGGAGAGTTCGAAACAAAAACCCAATCTCATATAGTTTTGATTGGTTTTTTTTTTTTTTTTTTGTTGTTGTTATTTCTCAATCTTATATACAATTTTGTGCCTTCTTCGTTTGTGATTACAATGCACTGGACTTCAGATATTTTGTATGTTATTCCTTGATGAATATGTAATATAGCTAGCCTTCTTACACCTTGATTTTTTTTTGTATATACAATTTTGTATGTTATTCATTGATGAATATGTAATAGAGTATGAAGCTTCTTTTCTCTAACAGTGAAACCTATTAATTTTCTTAATTTTTGATGTGCCCTATGGATTTTGAGGCTGAAAGAGATGCATATAAAGGTACAATAACAATATATTCCTGTTTTGAGTTTCTTATAATGCTTTTTAAATTGGTTTTCTTTATTTGCTTCTAAAAATAAGGTGATATAGATATCATTTACTGTTTTGGTTTTGTTAATATGGAGTAAACACATTACTATTTTGGTTTGTAATTGATCATTTTCATGTAGACCTGGAATTAGATTCACAAGAAAAGGTTGTGAACGGAAGCTATTTGATGAATTTTGTGAGAGAGATATAGTTCATTGAACTTAATGATTTATGTGTATTTGAATATGGGTTTTTCTGAAGGTCCTTTGGAATTGTTTGAGAAGATGAAAGGTGAAGAATTTGAGCTAAAGGAGAATGAAAAACTATATTATATTTTGGTGTATTCATCTATGATAGAATGTGTATTTAATTATAAATAGTAGTGTATTCATGTGTGAATGAGTGTATTTATTTATGATTAGAGGTATTGTTAATTCTTACACTATTTTTATTTTGTATTTATTTATGAGTACCGGTGTATTTATTTGTAAATAACAGTGTATTCATGTGTGAATGGTTGTTTTTATTTCTGAATAACATTGTATTCATGTATGAATAAGTGTATTTATTTATGATTAGAGGTATTCACTTTTTTAAGAAATGAAAATTTTTACACCATTTTTATTTTCATTTGATGAAAAAAAGGCATTGGATTATTTGTAAATTAATGTATATTCATTTGTGATTGGAGTGGTATTAAGTTTTTTGAAGAAAATTTTCGTTTTTTAATACAAGTATTTTGATTTGGGATTGAATTTCTATTCATTTTTTGAAAAAAAAAATATGAAATTCGAGGAAAAAAAACTGATTTTTTTTTTCAGTTTTAAATTAAATTTTGGTAAAAATATTTTTTTATATTCCATTAATAAGTAAAATTAAAAATAGAATTTTTTTTGTTTTTTTTAACTGATCCTAAATTTAAGGGAAATTGATTGAATTTTATTTTATTTTAATTTAATTAAAATATATAATTACTAATATACCCTTGTATATTGATTGGTCCAGAATTGTTCTCGCGTTCTCAACCTTTTAGGTGTTCTCAATTGATCATTTCCCTATATATATATATATATATATATATATATATATATATATATATATATCCTCCCTAATCCTCCTTAATAAATCAAAGTTTTTTGTCACATGTCATTTTCTCCTTCATTTGGACACATGACATTTTCTAGAATTTTTGAATTTTCTATTTTCCACTTGTCATTTTATTGTATTTTTCATTTTATTAAATTAAAATTCCACATTTAATATGTAAGGTAATATATATGTAAGGTATTTATTAGAAAAGATTTATATATGTAATTTATTCAATGTATTAAAGCCTCATTAATTTTAATAATTTAAATTTTTTTCTCATTTTTCTTATAAATTCAAACTTCTCAAATTGTTAAAATTTCATATTAAATTTTTTTTAAATAAACCCATGTAATACATGGGTCTCACACCTAGTAAATAATTTTTTTTTTTGCCACTTATCAATTTCTTATGCATTTGGACACATGTAATTTTGTGGTTAATTCTTAGAAATTAATTTTCACTTGTCATTTTGTGGTAATTTTTGATTTTCTTAATTAACTATCTAATTTTTAGGTTATAGAAAGTAATTAATGTATCATTAATTTATTTCCTTATATTTTCAAATTTTAATATGTTTCCTTTAATATATATAATTCAAAATTGACATGTTTCTTTTAAAGTTCATTGTCATTTTAAGCAAATTGGTCTATATAAAAAATAATCAAACTTTGTTGCTTTTTATTGATAAACTAAAAAAATGTTATATGGTCAAAATATAATTATTTTTCTTAGTTTGTTTTATTAATATAAATTGAATTATTTATTTATTCATCATTTTGTTTGTGTGTGTATATATATATATATATATATATATATATATATATATATATATATATATTGAAATTTTATTTTAAAAAATACTTAATGTTTACACTTTAATATTTAATGTTTTCTTTAAAAAAAAATATTTAAAGTTATATCTTCATATATAATTTTTTTAATCAACCCGTGTAGTACACGGGTTTCACACCTAGTACTCTAACAAATGAATGTTTTTTTCCCACTTGTCACACTTTCATTCAATTGTCAAATGTCATTTTGTGGTTATTTGAATTATTTTTTTTCCACATCTCATTTTATTAGTTTTTCTATTTTATTAAATTCTACATAATATTTTAATGTAATAATTGGATTAAATATAATAATAAATGAATATCAATTTCATTAATGAACTTACCTTTTAATTTCACAATTCCTAAAATTAATACATATTAGTTTATTTTGTTTATTTATTTAAATTATTTGTTTAAATTTAAAAACTAAAAAATATTTCCATTATAATAATTCATTATTTTTTTCTTATTTTCTTATAAATTCAAAGTTCTCAAATCTTTAGACCTTTATGTTTAACTTTTTTTTTAAATTAACCCATGTAATACATGTGTCTCACAACTAATATATATATCTATATATATATATATATCTATATATATATATATATATATATATATATATATATATATATATATATATATATATTACCAAAATGGTTTCCCCTTACATATAGACTATTCATTTGATTTTCTATTTTCAAATAAAAAATACTAAATCAAATCCTATTACAATTCTTTCATTATATAATACAAAATGAAAAATAAGCCTCATTTTGGAAATAATGATTTTACTTGTGGTCTATATTTTGAGTTTTAATATTTCGGGGTCCATTTAAGTCGTAATTTGTGTTTTGGTTAATAATTTTATTGTGATAGTATAATCAATTAATTATATTATCAACCTACGGATGTTTAAATGGTTAGTAATTTTATTGCGGTCTGGTATTTTGGGTGGAGTTAAAAAAGTTCAAATGGTAGAAAATAGAAATGATGTCTTTGATTGATTTTTTTCATCCTTTATGGATATAGAATTTTGGCAATGTTGATACTTTCATGATCAATGAAGTGAGGAAATCCCTTGATGATGCTTTGCTGCCACACGGTGTCATTGTTACTAGGCGGAACAGTTTCTTGCCTAGAAAAAGGAATATTTTCTATTGGAGATATCAGTTGAATAGATAACCAATTAATGACAACTTAATTGGTTAGGATATTGATGTTCCTTCAAGACTTTAAACTTTATGTATAGAATATCCAGAAGATATAACTCATGTTTTTTATCGCTTGTGAAGTTGAACCGATCATTGGTCTTGGATTGGGAGATGGTGTGATCTTCAAATTCAAAATTCAATTTGGGTGGAGGTTGTTACCACTTGGATTGATACCCTTCAACCTTCAAGTTGTAAGTGTTTGGTGTTGGAGGCTATCATAATGACTATGTGATGGGTATTATGAAACTTTAGGAATAAGACTTTTTTTCGTGCTCATAATCGGAGAAAGGAGACACCGAAAGAATTGATTTTATATTATTCGTTTAAAATTGAAAAGCTCTTGTAAAATATGGTTGAAAATTGAAAATTGTAAAATTGTAAAATATCGCTTGTGAAAATTGTAAAATATGGTTGACAATGTCTCAAAATCTTGTCAACACAATCATCAAACCTAATGTTCTGGCTTGTAAAATATGGTTGAAAATTTGAAAAGCTCTTTCGAGATAATAAAGACTCTTGTATCATGCAAATTAAAAGTGAAATTTGATCTATCTTTGTGGGTGATTTATCGGTGTATGCTTATTGTTCCAAGATTCAAACCATCGCCGACTTACTTGAAAATTTTGATGCTACCTCCAAAATATCCGACAAACATCTAGTGATTCACACCATCAATGGCCTCTCCTCTCTGTTTTACAACATTGTTATTATGCTCCACCATCGCATCCCATTTCCCACGTTTTCCGAAACTTGTTCCATTCTTGCTTTGGAAGAAACTCATCTCAATCACCCACAAAACATGACCACTACATCACATTTCGAAAACTCTTCACCACCAGTGATTCTTCATGCCTCCTTGGCTTCAGATTAGCACCATAATAATACCCAGAATGACTGCCACTAGCAGCCCCAAAAGGACCGCCGACAGCAGCGAAATCATGGCAACAACAATAGCGAACAACGACAACAACCTCCCATGCCTGCTCTTTCTGCGTCTCAATCAGCCCAGCCATATGGATGGGTCTTCTTTCCGCCTCCAGTCCAACAACAATGGTCCAACATGCCCATCGGCTCCCATGGCCCAACAGAAATCAACGCCAACAGCAAGGGCTTCTTGGCCCACCTCCTCAACACTATTCAACAGGCCAAACAACTTTTTCAGGACATATTTCGGGGAATTTAGAAAATTCAACAAGTCTGAAAATCACAGAAAATGTTCCCCCTTCTTGGGAATGGTTCAGAAATCAACAACACACCTCCATCCCGCAAATGTTTTCATCAATGTCACTTCACGACCCAACAAACGAATGGATAATAAACATGGGAGCTACCA